GCTCTTCTGTGGAAAGTTTCAATAAGGAATTAGGGCAAAATCAGGTCAACCTGCAAAACTATTTGCCGCCAGCAGGGGTCGAACCTGCGGCTTTGATGTATGAGAGTCTCAAATGTCCAATCGATGTGATCACCAGTTTTTTCCAATTCCCAACATGAGTGCATCACTATGAAATTTGCAGCCTACCTAGGACCTTTACATATCCAAATCGAGGGGTGGCCTTTAAACCCTTGCTCCCTACCGAAAGCCTCTTCAATTCATACTCGGGTCGCTACAGGTTGCTGTTCTGTTGTTGAAATAAAAAACGTGAAATAGTGCTTGCTTCCCATGCCTTTCATCAGTTCCTTTATTTACGGAACTTTTAGATCTTTTCTTTCTTCCAGTAGTATGTAGTATCCTATGGTTCTGGAAAATTGAGTATCGAGTCGATTGATGGATCGTATCTAACTCCTCCTCCTCGCTGATGAACAGTAGTGCTTGTTTTCTTGATCAATTGAGTGACGTGGTCGCGGAGGGGAGGTAATTGCTTTACGAATTACATCCATATTTAATGCTCTAATTATGTACCAGCAAATTTTTAGAAATATTTCAAATCTTTATTGCATAATTTGAGGATATACCTGATTCACTGATTGGATGTTGGCTTTCCTCGTCGTCTGCAAATTTCAAATCTTCAGGTATGCATCACCGGGACGTTCTTACTCTATGCCGACCCAGTTCATCATCCAGGCGCCCAATGATTGTCTACGCCTTCCCCTTTGACCTTTACAAAACCAGTTATTATCTCATCTGCCATGCATATAAACATCGCCGCGCAACGAAGGGCATTTTTGTTGACTCCTGTTGCAATTGCTAATTTTACTTCCAACAGCATGATTGGTACCGAGTTATCTGATTTCTCCCTGGTGGATAATTTGTTACCTCTGTCATCCGGGATAATTTTCTACTATCTAGTCCTGGTTCTGAGCAATTTCATGGTTGAAAACCCTCGAAAACCGGACGTCATTCAACCTCGATTCATCTTCGAAATTTGACATTTGAAATTGGCCAATCTGTAATCGTTGAATGATACCGTAGCTATCAGATTTCATAACCTTCCTCCCACTCCCTGACTATTTACTTTTTGAAGTGTTCGGGATTCACGGGCATTAGGAGTCATACCATTTCCTATCATATATAGATATAACATAGTTCTTTGAACGCTTTTATTCTTTATAAGCTTCTCATACGTGACTTCTGCCGAATGATATGGAACTGTGCGACTTTGGTGACTCATATCAATTGCTATAAATGTCGAGACGTTCGTTATGAAATCAGTTTCCCATTTTTCAGATGAGAGCTGTGTTCGTGTTCCTGGCGTTGGTGCTTGTCGCCACTCTAATCGACGCCAAAAAACAAAGTGTAACTGTCAAAGGTGTTACCGTCTGCAATAAGAAGCGACTTGCCGATGCCACTGTGGAACTATGGGAGAGAGATCGACGTACGTTTGTTCTAAATTCCATAAATACTATTTATAGCTACTCTTTTGAAGTTCTTCCACCTATCCATCAGAGCTGCACCAAACTTAACTTTAGGACTAGAATCAGGCTTTCGTTGTGACTCCATAAAACCGGGTTCTCTCGTCAATCCAACTATAACAACCTCCAAGGATAAAAAAATGGGAACACCGCTCTGAACTGACTCAGCCCCTCAAACTTCCATCTGTCCGATCCATCGGCGTGGGAAGTAAATGGCACTCCACGGCTACAAGACTAATCTTTGGGGCTTGAAAAGCCCAATGCGCTTTCCTTGTTAGGCAGTATGTCCACAAATAATGAGAGACAGNCCGAAACCTCCACATTCCACTGGTTTCTTTAGTGGAAAAAAACAACTCGGTCATTGGACGAGCTAATAGAATCAAGACCATATATGGAGCAATTCCGAGATGTACTAGCTATGGTAAGGAATCAATCCAAGCCATTCTTCGACCCCCAATATTTGGCTATGGGACCTGAGAGCAATCTGATTGTTGCTTTCTCAACTATCATCCTTCACTGTAGCTACTTCGACGAGGGCAAAGTACGTTGTATGGGCCGAGTCCTTATGACATGATTTGATATGTCATGAAGATTTCTGCGTATCAATCGATTGATCGGAAAAGTATGGGAAGGGGTTTATGTTGGACTGTTCAAGTTGGGAAGAAGAAGCGTTGAAATGATCATGATGAGATTGAGTTAATGGCACGGATTCCATCAGATACAAGTTATATGGTTTCCATGTTGGTTACGGTAAGACAGCTTCTCAGGGTAAATTTTATGGCTCTAAAAAGAACAACAGCCTATCCTATTATCACACCACCAAGTGATAAGGGAATCACGACGACAATTTTTCTCCACTTATTCCTAATCCTATTAAGGAGCAGAAATGAGTGGGCTGTGACCAAGAGGAAAAATAGGGAGCGGGAAGATCTCATCTCGACCCAGAACATAATATGGATTCATGAATTGACCCGAGGCTTCAATGCTTCTAACCTACTTTCGAAGCGATGCAGGAATGCGTAGAAGAGCGTCGTTACAAGAGAAAGTACTTTAAGTTGTATTCTCTGGTTAAAATTCATCCCAGAAACTCATTTCACTCCTTTCCACCATTTTGTACTCAGCCTAGAGCTTGAATTCTTCGTAGACCTGAAAAGGATGCCAGTGAACGTATAGCCTCGAGAGAGGAATCCGGACTTGAGCCCTCACGTTCCCTCATGTATAAGTAACTGAGACTGAAGGTCGCCATCTCTCGCCATTAAATTTAAAACGATATTTTGGATAGTTCTGGTGAGATTTCTCTTCTATAACTGCAGCTTTTTACTGTGAGGAACCCTCAGTTACAAGAGCTCCACGTCATTCGTAAACAGACGGTCCTGATCGCATTAAAGTGAGATCATTCTTTACCCTTGACGATATGATCGGAGCGGAGATCCAAAAAAATCCCATGAATCATCCGGAAACTGTGCCATTCTCGTATCGATTGAGAGGGATAGATTTTTTGGCTTTACGGATCGATATGATAAGTTTTTCGGGAGCGATATTTCATGGACAGCCTTGCCTCTTATCATCTTTCCCATTACGGTTCAATCAGTTACACAGAAAGAGCTGTAAGTAAACACAGACTATAATATAGCCCTGCGCCCCCTCCCCATAAGCTTTGGACTGCGGGATACCGATTTCCGTTCAGCAAGTCAATGTGGATGGAACGCTGGGAATTTTTAGAACTCAGACGGGTAACCTTCCTATGTCTTTTGAAGATGGTTGAACTTATAAAGAAATAGGAAGTGGGAGGTAGTCCTCACCTAGGCTGGCCCTTGTGAAGCATTGTGTAAGTGAAGTCCCATCCGAGTGATCCTGTACGATTCATACAAGAAGTCATATACGTGGTGAATCCAGGACGAAACAATCATTGAGCAGCCCTCCGTCTGCTTTATGACTTGACAGTCGACCCTTCTGATACCCTATCAAGGCTGGCCTTTGAGATCCTGTAGAGTTCTGCCGATATCTTTTAGTGCGGTTCCATGTCCATGTTATTCTAGAAGTATCTGAGGTTTTGGAAGTTCCAAGGGGGATACCGCAGAAGCATCAGATAAATCGTTCAACGAGACGACCAGTTTACTCAGTTGAAAAGCGCAGTATCCTTTTTTCTGGGAATAATTACTCACTAATATTCATTTAGTTGACCCCAATGATTTGTTGATGACGATGAAAACCAAGAAAGACGGCGAATTTCTCGTAAAAGGTGAAGAAGACGAAGTTGGAGGAATTGAACCATTCCTCAGAATCACCCACACATGCAACGTCAAGAAACCGGTATGTCACCACTATCAGCTAAAAGAACCAGAATGACAGGCATTACAGTGGCGTGCCCCGGTCACGTCACCGATACTGCTTTGTCTGTGAGAATGTCTTTGTCCAAAGTTCAACGGTTACCTTTCAGGGTTGCAAACGAATTTCCGAGTACGAGATTCCCAAGAAGTTTATCAACGGCGTCTACGATATGACGTATGTGACCCTGGACATTATTTCAGCTGTCGACAAAGAGAAGTGCTAAAGTGTAAATGGTTGGGACGATGCCGCAGAAAGCGGAAACTTGTGGTGTGATGAAATTCAACTGAAAATACTTCAAATAAAAATCATAAAACAAGTGTTTTGAGTCGTTTCTGCTGTTGTTGTTTCTTTTAATTACTGATTATCGCCTATGTCAGCGATAGGGAAGCTGACACATGCGGGGGTTAGGCAGAAACCTGTTGGCAATGAAGTGCACCGAAAACGGTGGGGATGGGCGAAGTTGTTGTTTAAGGCCGAGCTTTCCCCCCACCCCAACAAAACCCGGACCTTCGTCGTAACAGTTGTTCTGCGTACTGCTTTGGTTTACAACCCTACCTACACTCACTCTACTCCATGTCAAAAAAGCTAACGAATGAATGGCACGGTGCTAAATAATAAACTGGAGTGAGCCAGACACTCGCATTTTTTCCAAAATGAAGACATACTGGATGCGTACGAATGCGATATTTTATTTACGCTCTGATTATTGAGAGCTGTGTTTGAAATGTTCTACATGACACTGTAGTTGGTAGAGCGAGACGTACTGATGAAAGACCTAGCTGATTAGGCAGAGCTCATACCAGCCTGCTCTAAAGGCGCTTCGCTCCCCACAGTCGCCGAACAAATCTAGTCGTTAGTATTGTTTGAAGCAAGACCATATGGATTTGTCTGCTAAAGAAGTGGTTTCAATTGCGCTCAACTGAGACATTCGATTGTTTGAACTGGAAAAAAGGGTCTTAATTGCTCCGGTCTGTAAGCATTTTCCCATGAATTCCATCGAACGGTTCCGTGAGAATGAAATATCTCTTGGAATAGTCGTTTATCACTTATTTTCTCATAGTACACTCAAAGTTCGCTGAATAGTACGAAGAGCTTGTGTCTGTGTAAGTCTTCAGACTGAACCGAGATGGAAGGAAGTCAGGGTGTCAGTTGCGATGAAGGAAGTCTGTTAGGAGAATAGGTAAGTGTAAACGCCGCCTAAGATCGAAATCAATTTTCCTAAACTCAGCTGCTCAAAGACGAGAATGGAGAACAACCATTTATTCGCCTTGCAAATGGTGAGGGTGTATCGTATGTTATCATTGATAACTGATATTATCTCCAAACATAAAATCTCTACAGACACATTACCAATCATTTCATTATGCGTTTGCGATGGTTACAGGTGGGCTAGACATTTGCAATCCATGACAGTCGCGTCTAGGGAACCATTAGGATTCAGATGTGAAGCACATAGCTCTAATGGCCTACTCGTAACATCCTCCGACTTCCAGTCACAAATACTTGGCTAAGCCCCATAGATATGGAGTGATGGGCAAAACGCATACATCGGTTCCGGGAGAGTTCCAAGCATGCATTGAACGTTTTGCTTGTTCAGTGAAATGGGGGATGACCTATGTAAGGGTCACTTTAATTACTGCTAATTTACTCCGTACGATTACCTTAACATACCTTCTCTCGAGAAGGACACAATGTGGGCGAAGAGGAACGGTTGAGACTACGAAATTCCTCCACAGATCTCCAATGTTCCCACTGATCCCACTATTCCTTCATTGTGCTCACAGTTGTGCGAAGTCATAAATTAGTACTTGCCAGTTGATCTGTAACAAAGTAATGCAGGAGTGCAGTTACGGTAGGAATTTGGGTCTTTGCTAGAACTTGTTGTTTGATTGGGCGACAGGTAACGGCACCAGCATGATTCACTAAAGTCAACAGATTACAAATGATTTTTTCGTTCATCAAACTCGTTTTATAATAAAGCAACGACTCAACAGTATCAATGGGGTGAATCACCGGGTGACACAAATCTGCACAGAACGAATACGTCCGACCATCTCCGGCTCTGCCTCTATTAACAGCGCCTTTGACCAGGTTCAGTTCAGTTTTTTCCCGAGCACAAACTGAATGATCAAGCAACCGTAATCTTCACTCCGATTCGGAAGAAACGCTATCAAAAATTTGGTGAACCCTTCCGCCAACCCAAGTCTTTTTGATGGTTTCAGTGGTCGTTGAAAGCAGCATGCCCAGCGGAACAGTGTATAGATGCAGGGCGCGTAAAGTCGATACCCATCCTAAAGTATATGTATCCGAATAGCGGTCTACGCTGGAAAGTCTGAGGTGATAGTGTAGAATAATTAGGCTCTCCTCCGAAAAATGCCAGATGAATCACAACAATAAGGCAATCGAATTGATTCTCATGAACATGATTCACATCATTAGTATTCCCGTCATCATTCGCATTGTAACATCGGAAAACATCTCTTTCATGAAAATGGCGTACGAGAAAGGAATTTTGCAGAGAGTAGCAGCCATTGTATACTTTTTTTCTGGGAATGGTTTTGGTTGTAGGGAAGGGAATGGGGTGTGACAGTTATGAAGATCAACTAGTACTACTGCGATGGGCAGAAGAAATTCAGCATCGTTGTGGTTTGATTTCAACTTCTACACCCAATTCCTTGTCAATCTTCCACATACCTGAAACGAAGGGACTTTGCAAAGGGATGGGTGAGGGTGAACGGTGGGAAGGTCGTACTGCATTTTCTCTCCCTGACCGCAGTTCCTATTTCAACTGTACGGAAGTTTGTCACTTGGATTACCCTTCCCCCTCCCCCCTCCCCCCCTCTTAAGGACACGTGGGTGGGTGGTGGGGTAAGCCAATGTGTTACTGTAAGAGCCGACTGCTGGACCGAATCTTGAATTTAAAATTTTAATTCCACACTGCCTTCCTTTTCACGATGAGTAGCTCTTTTTGTAAACAATACAACATCTTTATATGTACACGTGATATTAGCTGGACACTTGCTCAAATAATGCCTACTGTAAGTGGTAGTGTAGTTTTTCAGGGTGGAAGAATCAGTGTTTCCCATAAACTTCTCAAACTTTCTCTTCAGGGTTAAGTATCGGGCTTATGATAGTTGTGACAGTTATTACAATTCTCAACGTTATGCTTAGCACAGTGCATATCCTACTTGTTTTAACGTTCCGTGGAAGGACCCCTGTGGTCTCTAAACAGGTATTCTTTTTCTTCACCAATAAGTAGTTTGTATGTAAGGCTCAATCGTCCACAGAAGTCAACTCGCTTCGCGAGTAAATCGATAATCGATTCTTTGTCGCGTTCCAATCTCCTGGGGCCTTATCGATTTCCGATTACTGTATACGAATATATTTTGCCCATTGATTAGGAATTTTCCAAGACTTCATTTGACTTTGGTTATGGAGTCAGGGGAATCGCAGGCGGGGAGGGATTCGTACTAAGAAGACTGAATTGTAGGTGTAGGAACAGCATCTGATGCAGGGTAGAAGGGGGACGGGAGGAGGGAGGGGGGAAGGGAATACAGCCTAGGTCTCTGAAATCTACCGGTCGAGTGAGCAGGGAAACGATTAAATTGTCCAAAGTTCAAAACGACACCATCAGTTCTCCCAGATGGTCGAATCGCCCAGTACTGTATAAGTAACGCTCAAGTTAATAGTCCCCCATTAGACTTTGATGTTTTCAGTCAAATTTATCTGATGATCGAAGTCTTATGGCGAACCCGGTACTTTTTTTACTTTCGACCCAATTAGAAAATCGCCTTAGAATCATAATTTAGGCAAAGAGTATGATGATGCAAATGGGACCAGATGAAGAAGTATGTCATGGCGATGTCGATGATGAAAATTTTTCTGCAGCCTTACCTTTAGAGAATAAGTATTTTATTAATACAATTTGTTCAGGAAGATCCAAAGTTTGGCTATGTCACGATGCCACGTAATTATGGCAAGAAAACAATGTCAAAATTTGTTCTCGTCCCTCCACCCAAAGGGAAGTAGGTTCTTTGACATGATTGTCCTTCCTTTTGTTCCCGGCCTTCCAACCTACTTGCTTTAAAATAGCTATTGAATTTGCACGTACGCGTCAATTTAATAATTATTATTCCATTACAGAAAAAAATGAATAACTGAAGGAAAATGAATTGAAAACCCTTAACATGTACCATTGATCATTTATCGACTTGGTTTTGTACCGAATAAAGCCTTATTAATTTGTTGGATGTGGCAAGAACTCTATGGGAAGAGCTCTGATGGAAGTCGAGGGCAATGGGAACGGTAATGGCAAAGCTCGTTTCGAAATCGCCGTGCACACGGATTCTAAACGAGATCTCAACAACATTCGAAGGCGTATTCAATCCAGATAACAACCTGCGAGGTCCACTCAAGAAGAAACCGTATCGTCCCATGCCGTAGTACCTGTCCCTACAAACCATGGCCCAGTCAAATAAAGAGTAACTGACATTAAATAATCCGACTGAGACTTTGTCACAGGCATAGTTCACGACAATTTTGGGGTAACTGGCTTTAAACGAATTATGGAGCTGATATTCCAGTATAGCGCACAAAGGCGAAGTAATCTCAAAAATCTGCGTATTTGTAGAAATATAAGACTATGAGAAGGAGAAAAAGCGGAGGTTGGAAGAGAATGTGATGGCAAAAGATGAATGGAAGGAGTATCCGGACGCTCAGAAATGTGCGTCGTTGGATACGATTACAGTAAGCCGCCTGGACGCAATATGTGCGTCCTGGCGCGAATGCTACAAAGTCTACAGCCTCTACAATACCATGTATACATTGGCTGAGCCAATTTTGGAGCCCTTATCACCCTCATTATGAAGCGCTTTTTTAATGCGGCAGCATCTCCTGCGCCATCCTTCGCAGTCACAAGTCGTAATAAGTTGCTCAATGAAGGTAGAAGTCCTAGCTGTCCAAAATGTGAGCCCGCACGGGACTCGTCTTCGAATTGCAGAACCGGCACCACTCGGCACTACTCCACTACTATGGTACAGACACAGACACAATTCCTAATAGAATGGTTCTTGAGTTTCCCCTCTAGGATGGAACCTATGATCCCAAGGATAGTACGTGGGACATTATCGGGCCGAAAAACGACTTTGAAAACGCGTTATGAAGGTTTCTGAACTCTTATAGCGCTGCGTGGCAACGTTAAAAGAGTACTGTACACACCCAAAA